ATCTCCTTTGAAATCCAACTTCATGTAGAGTTTCTTTTTAGGGGCACATGAAGTTTCATTTCTGCAAATTCTTGGTTTGAGGATTACTCAACCACTTCTACTGTCATGGTAACAATTTTTTGATCATGGTGACTTAATTTTGTTTCTTTGCCTGTTTCCCTAATTGCTTAGAATTCTTGTATTCATTTAGAACTCTTATGTAACCTCGTATTCTCTTCTTTGTTCCTCTATGTGTCCTGAGGAAAACTCACTCATCAAACTGTTCATATTATTACATAACTCCTTTTTGACAACTGTTTGTGACAACTCATCACCTTTGTTTCTACCCTAATTTTCTTGACAGATCTTGTATTACGTAACTCCTATTACCAATCTTCACCTGTTTAGTTAAAATGACCATAACCAATTGTATGTATTTTTGTTTGACAAACTTAATGTACACATAAATACGAAATATCCCTTATATATTGGCGATTGTAGAGCTGGGAAAATAAATTCGCCGCCGCCGAAAACAGATTCTTCGATGAACTACGTGTTTTGCTTTCATTAATGCCTGGATGGGAATTATCCATGAATTAAAATATAGTTTTATATTCACGCATTATGAGGTAAGAAGTAACTTCATGCATATAGTAGTTGGTTATACCGAAAAAAATGAGGCACCTAGTTGACTGGCTGGGATTCAAAAGTAAAGTATTGCACGAAATTGCTACGTTCCAAGCTGATACACTCGATATATATGTCAGAGGTGATGAAGATTCTTGGCCAACAGCAACAACAGGCAACAATCAACCAGCATAAATGGGAGGAACCTGAAAGAAACAACCTCCTTTACATATCCACCTATCTATCTGGGAAGCATCGTTTCAACTACAGGCGGATGGATGTGATGAGGATATCAAAGCAACGATCGGGAAGGCAAGACAAGCTTTCATTACTCTTAAGTCTGTGTGGAGGTCAACATCACTCACCATCAAAAATAAGATCTGGATTTTCAACTCCAATGTGAAGTCAGCCAGTGCTACTTAACATACAGATCAGAGACTTGCACTGCGCGTCATAAAGAGCATCTCAAACAAATTTCAGACCTTCATCCACAGGTTTCTTCGCTCAACACCACTAAAGATAAGATGGCCGGTCAGAAAAGATCAGCAACAGGCTGGGATCTCTGGCATTGACCGAACCAACCAGGAACCGATTGTGCAACAAATAAGCAGGAAGAAATGGAGATGGATTGGCTGACCATACTCTGAGAAAACAAACCATCAAGTGATATCACTAGACATGCTACTGGTCGAGTGGAACCCGAAAGGGAAGCGGGTGGTGATTCGGTCGTCAGTGCAAGGGTGACTTGGAGGAGGTCATGTGAGGAGGAGATGAAAGCATGTGGGAAGACTTGGTGCGGAGTGAAAAAGTTGGCGGAAAACAGAAGGCAATGGAGACTCGGGCGGCTGAAGCCGTATGTTCCTCTAGGAATTAAAGGATATAATAATAATATGTCAGACAAACTTGGAGAAGAAAAAGTAAAGGAACTAGAATGTGCGGAAATGCATGGGAGAAGTAATTACACGGAGAAACATAAGCACTGAATGATTTGCTATCAAATTAGTCAGAGTCTCATCCATCAGTGTACTTCAGTGGTGAGATAAAACAAAAGTGCAGGCAACCATCTGGCAACCCATGATGGACTGTGTATGCATGCATGCAACTACGCTGTCTAAATCGCATTCAGGTAGGTGTTAGTTGGTTGCTGAGCAAGTTTAGTGTGTCTGTCGACCAGCTAGCTCATCAGCCTATTAAAATGTTCCCTACAACGTTCCAGTCGTCTCTTCTGAGAGATAACTAAACTGGAAACCACTTCGCTTATCAATGGCTTTTTACAGTCTGCTTCGCTAATCACTTGAAATAGTTGTCTGGAATAACCTGCCAATGATGCTTTTTCCATCCTCTTTGCCTTTTTTGTCCCCGCCCCCCCTCCAATGCAATGCTCAAGGTTTTTGAAACGAATTTTATTCAGCCAGTATTCGTGCGGATACGCGTTTAGTTGCTTCTCCCCTAAATAAAGACTTTGTGTCCTCATCAAGTTGTGAGCCTAGTGACTTCCATAGCTGCCTGCTTTCTATGCCTGTCCACTCACAGCAATATACTTGAGCCAACTAGTGAGTAAACCGATTTCAAGAGTGAGTTTCTCAGGGAAATGAGTCTTTTCCATCGTGATAGCTTATAGAGCTGGTGGTCTAATTGAGACTATCGTTGATTTGATGTTGGAGATTGCCAGGTAAGGAGATGTTTCTCCTTGTGTTTGAAATTAAGGCTTAACACGAACAAACGAGTATCTGAAAGAAAGTTTCCAAACTATCACTGCTGTTGTCCGCCCTCATGCAATTCTGTAAATGCCGCCACCACAGGTTCCTTAATCAGGCGCCGAAATCATCTGCTACAATGATTATATATGGGCGCTTCGCTTATAGCAGCCAACTAATGTCTTTTCGAATTCTGCGTCAATTAACCAGTCGATTGTAGTTGGGACAAAGTAAAGCAGGAGTCCTACATAATCTTCCTTTCGTATCACGAATCCCTTCAACCGAGCAGCATACGTACGAGTATCTATTGCAATCCAATCAAGTAACAATGTCTCTGCCTAAGTTTTCATTATTATTATTATTATTATTATTATTATTATTATTATTCCCATACCAGCAACTTTACACAATCTAGCCAAAGAATCGCTTCACACCCCTCATGTTGACCAGATCCAGTGAAGTGAATAAAGAAACTTAGGTCTTGTATTTGTGTATCCGAAATACAACATAGATCCTCAAATAAGCTAGAGATGCCAGATTTGTGGTTGGTGAAACCTGTTGTCAGATATGGATGAGGTCCAGACACAGAATTCTACAATTTGAATTTTTTAGCATGTTTTCTCGGTTCTGGTTGGCACTGATGATAGCAGAGTTAAAAGAAGGTTGTATTAACAGTGGGGGAGTAAAGCGAAAAGGTGAAGGTGAGTGACGATCCGGAGCGCTTCGTGTGTTTATGGAAGCTGGTTTCTACTTGAAACTCCTGAAGAATAAGAAGAAGGAGCGCATTAGTGTAGAGTGAACGCAGAGTCCAGGAGATAACTGCAGTCTGTTTTAAGTGGTTTCCGGAGTCATATCTATGTTAAGGTCTAACCACCGACTACAGAACGCCACACATAGGTCCGGATTTATGATTTTCCCAGTCCTCTCCTCATAGCAGGAAGGCAGCATAGCTGCCACGCTGGTTGTCCAAAGGAAACGCCTTACTCCTGTTACATACCTATTTGCCACCATTATGAATTTAGAACAACACATTTAAGCGAACAATATTGTGGTTTCAATTAGATCTCATCAGGCTTAACTCTAATATATATATAAGTTTACAAATAAAAATTCAACTATAAACCAATCATGGTGTTTTGTCTATAGGATAATACGATGGTGAATATAAATTGTGCACTTACTCATAATAGTAGTAATGATAATATTAATAATAATAATAATAGTAATAATGGTCTTATCAATAATAAGGATGAAAAAGTGAGGCAATCTGTGATAACACGAATAATGAAAAAACTGCATGATTAAACAAACAAATGTTCAGGTGGAAGTGGTAGTCGATAAAGGCTAGTAAAAACAAATGAACCGATTAAGTAATGTGAGATTGTAAGGGAAGGAAATGAAACACGGTTGTTTTTACTAGCCTTTATCGACTACTTCCACCTGAACAACTGTTTGTTTAATCACGCTGCTTTTTCATCATTCGTGTTATCACAGATCGCCTCACTTTTCCATGCTTATTATTGATGAAACTGTTATTATTATTATTATTATTATTAATATTATGACTAATTGCACCATTTATATTCACCATCGTATTATCCTATAGACAAAACACCATGATTGGTTTATATTTGAATTTCTATTTGTCAACTTATATATATTGGAGTTAAGCCTGATGAGATCTAATTGAAACCACAATATTGTTCGCTTAAGTGTGTTGTTCTAAATTTTACTATGGGAATATTTAATACATTATGAATTCGCCAGCTTTAACACTACATGAACCCACTTCAGACGAGATTGCTAGTCAAACAAAGAGTATGTAACACTCGATTATGCCAGATACTCACAGAAATATATCGGGGGAGGACAAGAAAATACCGAGAACTGCTCCACTGAATAAAAGGAGATTACTAGATAGTTGAAGGCAATCGGCACAACGCCTTGGACACAGGTTTCGTGCTAGTCGACATTCACCAGTCAGCAAGGCGTATCTGCGACCCTGAAAGAACTCATGTCCCTTCTAAGATTCGAAACCATGTCACCCAGTGCTACCAGCAGTTAGAGAAGTGACCACGAAGCTATTCGGGCTCGCGATTGACCTCCTGTAGGACTGTAGTGGATATTTTGATTGGACACATTGCAAACATGATTGACTGATAGAACTCAGTCTGTACCAAACAAAGGACTACCCAGACACATCACACTAGTTACTGGCTAGTGTCCAATGAAGCTATCCAATACAGTCAGTTCCACAAGAGGTCAATCGCGAGGCCGAATATCTCAGTGGTAACGTTGCTGACGGCTGGTAGCACTGAGATTGAATCTCAGTAGGGAAATGAGCGTTCCTTCAAGGTCGCAGATGCGACTTGATGACTGGTGAGTACCGACTAGCACGAAACCTAGGTCCAAGGCGTTGTGCCGATTGCGCCTCCAACTATCATCTAATATCACATCAAATTAATGTGTACAGTGTGATGGCGAGCTACCTAGAAACATGGCCACATTGCAAACGTGACTGACTGATAGAATTCAGTGTGCACCACCAAAGAAAGGACTAAACACGTCACACTAGTTACAAGTGTCCAATCAAAAAGAGAGTACTTTCAAGCGTTAACATAACTGTTAGGCAGAAAAAAAAATAAATAAATAAACTCACAATTAACTTCACCATCCAATTAAAAATAATCGACTCACCTCATTCCAACAACTGATTTATTTTTATAATTCTCTAAAAATTGTGGTGCACCCAGCATAGCTTCAATAAACAAGGCGCTAAAGCCTAATAACTGGATGTAGACTTGACTGAATGAGAATATATACGTGCATAGGCCAGTGGTAAGCGTGAATAGCCATAGGAATAAAAGATAATGACGAAAATGTGTCCATTTCCAAAAGTTTTCAAACCAAATTCCTATTAATTTGAAGAGAAAAAAAACATAGAGAAACAAGGAAAAGTAAGTCTCCAGTCTTTCGCAATTTTTATCACCTTATACAAAACAAATAAAGTCAATGAGGGGTGCAATAAATTGAAATAAAAACTACACTGAACGACTAGAGTAATATAAAAGCACATTTGATAACCAAAGCGTAAGTACAATCAATATACAACAAGAGTAACCATAAATTGGTTAGTTTAGCAAGATGTGTATATTGGGTATATGGATATTCATCATAATAAAGGTTTTTTGTGTATTTCCCATTGAATGAATGAATGAATGAAAAAGAGCAAAACGATATTGTTATTGTCACTGACGTTTTGCTACTTAGTGCTGCTGCTAATAGCTTTATTAAACAAGAATTTACAAAATCCACTCAACTAATATGTAACAACTTAATCATGCATCGTTCCTCAGTATGGGGTCATTTTTGCGTTGTTGTCAAACTGGCCAATTGGTAAAGATAACAAAACCAGGTGTAGATGACTGTTGGATTTGATAAGTGTGTAAAATTATAATTATTGAAGCAGCGTGTGTTTACATAATGAAATTGCTTATCACATTCGTGTTGATTTTCTCATTTCATGAGGGGGAGGTTGGCGATGTTGTAACCACGTCAAAGTCTGTTGTAGTAGATCATTCCTATTCAGACAATTTCGATTCCACTTGATATGAAGCTCTGGTGATGACGTGAGACGTTCTTTGTGATTTTTTCTGAATTATTTCATTTAAAATTGTTAAAATCAATTTTGTGGCCTGATTCTATAGCGTGAAGACAGGCTATGGCTCATGATTTTTCAAGCTTTTTTAGTTCACTAACTGGATTTTTTGGTGGTCGAACAAGGACTGCTCTACGGTGTTCATTTCTTCTGATTTTGATTTCTCTCTAGCGATGTTTGTCCGATGTAAATCGCATCACATTGCAAGGTTTTATAATTTTACACACTTATGAAATCCAACAATCTACACTTGTTTTGTTATTTTTACCAGCTGGCCAACTTGACAGCGCAAGATTACCTCCATACTGAGAACGATGACTATTGTGATTATTATTACTATTTCCTTTAATTCCTAGAGGGACATACGGCTTCAGCCGAACATCTCCATTTCGTCCAGTTCTCTGCTAAAGTTTTCACCTGGCTCCAAGTCTGCCCACATGCTTTCACCTCCTCTTCACACCACCTCCTCTATGTCACCCATGCACTGACGACCGACTCACCACCCACTTCCCTTTCGGGTTCCACTCGACCAGTAGCATGTCTAGTGATATCACTTGATGGTTTGTTTTCTCAGAGTATGGTCAGCCAATCCAGCTCCATTTCTTCCTGCTTATTTGTTGCACAGTCGGTTCCTGGTTGGTTCGGTCAATGCCAAAGATCCCAGCCTGTTGCTGATCTTTTCTGGCCGGCCATCTGATCTTTAGTGGTGTTGAGCGAAGACAACTGTTGATGAAGGTCTGAAATTTGTTTGAGATGCTCTTTATGACGCGCAGTGCAAGTCTCTGATCCGTATGGTAAGTAGTGAGTTGACTTTATAATATATATTAGTGGCAGTGGTGTAAGCGTCATGTCATACTCGACTGTCATTGCCTTCATGTTCAGTCGCTATGGCTGCTCTAATAAGCAGTCGTTTGAATGCATGTAAAATGCCAGTTCTGATAGCTGCATTCATATAAGTGCAGTGTGGTCAAGACGGTGTGTAGCAAGGAGCGACATCTCGCGGGACGCCCAGTCAGCAAAGTCCATGAGAATTTCGTTCAAGTAGGCTATGGCATACAGTTGGAGTACTGCTTTGTATTTGTATTGCATCTAGCTTGTGTAGAAAGATTTTGACTCTAAACAGGTTTTGCATTTTCACACACTTCACATTGGAGTTGAAAATCCAGATCTTATTTTCGATGGTGAGTGGCGTTGACCTCCACACAGACTTGAGAGTAATGAAAGCTTGTCTTGCCTTCCCGATCGTTGCTTTGATATCCTCATCACTTCCACTCGCCTGTAGTTGAAACGATGCTTCCCAGATAGATAGGTGGATAGGTAAAGGAGGCTGCTTCTTTCAGGGTCCTCCCATTTATGCTGGCTGATTGTTGTCTGTAGTTGCTGCTTTAGTTATGGCTGTTGGCCAGGAATTTTCATAACCTCTGTTTTCTGTATGCGCACCTGAAGTCCTATCTTTGACTTCGACAGTCATTTTGATATCTTGTTTAATCCCCTTAATTTTTTCCAAAATTATGCAAATATTTCTACGCATTTCACACACACACACACATAACCTCTAACTGTCGCAGTAATTTTCTTGATTGATGATTACCACTCCTTGACAGGTTGATATTGATTAATTAGTGTTAACAAAGGTATAACCACTAGATTGGTAAATTTCTTTATTGTATTAAAATCACTATATATGTATATACATACATACATACATATATACATACATGCATACACACATACGCACATGGAGTAGAGCCGTAGAGTTAGATCTAATCGGAAAGTAAGTATTTCTTCGCTCATTCATTTTAAAATAAAAATTACACAAAGCTAAGTAAGGTATGAAACCCACATCTAAAGCATAAACGCAGTTCAATGTATTAATGTGATATTAGAACAAGAATGGAAATATAAACGTCTACATTCAGGTACCATTAAAACAAACCTCATGAGTTCATGGTCCAACACGATGTACACATACCTACCTATCAACATCTGACTGAATATGTTAGTAGGCTGATGCAGATAACTACTGCAGGAAACTACTCGAGCACTACGGAGTACCTCCAAATATTCATCAACATTATTCAACAGCTGCTTTACGACAATGGCACATGTCAAATGATCTACTACAACGGAAAACTCAGCGAGGTGTTTGAAGTAAACACAGGAGTCACCAATGATATTCCTAATTGTCGTGGACTGGATTACGCGTCGGACAGTGAGTGGGAAACGCGAAGACAGAGATATCCTGGACCGACGTGAACAACCTAGAAGACTTTTATGGTTCAGTTAACCGTGGAATTTATTCTATGGTCTGACTTTTACCCCACTGATTTAGATAAACAGATTATTTAGATATTTGTATGGCTTACTTTTAAATCTTTTAATACTCTGGTCTTCTGTTTCTAATTTTTTCGTAGAGATGATAGAAGGTATTGAAGTGGAACGCTTCATACGAGATATTTTAGTGATTGTCTTCATCAGGACAAGCATTGCAATAATCATGACGAAACTTTGCGAAAGTAATGATGAGGAGAAAGGTTGTACGAACCTGAAAAGGAACGATAATTAATTCAGTAATTAATAATAGTAATAATAATATAATTATCTGCTTTATTCAAAGACAAACAGTACTTCTTCTTCAGGCTCTACAGTTATAAATCCATGAATAATAGAGTACATATAGCCAGTAAAGGCAAATGAAAATAATATCAGAAACTGTATTGGGGTGCATGTGTAAGTTGAGGTGATAGTCCATTAGTTAGCATAGTCAATTAAATGTGTATAGGGTGTTTAGTCAGAAAAATGTGATGAAGTGTGAATGAACAATTGGGTGATATAGTGTTGTTTTATAGTTAACAGAATACAAGTGTCCTTGGGGTGAGGAAATGCGATAACCACAAACAGTAATTATAATACAGTATGGAATTTTCAGCATTTTTCAGAATATTGCATCTAATTTACTCAATATATATATATATGTCGATTACCTCAGTCTTCTCTATGTTCAACTGATGTCTTGTCTTTGCTGTATCTTCTGACAACTTGTTGGTTTTCGTTAGTAGATCTTAAAGTTTTTATGACAGATACAAATCGTAAACAAAGTCCAGATACTTTAGAGTCTTTTTGTCGGTGCAGATAACTAAGCAGTATCCACATACCACACAGACCTTGCAGAATACCACCTGGCTTACTGTCTACAATGCATATGCACACTTGTGTTGGTCAGATGTATAAAACCATTTTATATAATAATTCTGGAGAATCTTTGAAGCATGAAAGCTATCGATTAATGTGTTTGTATTAAGTAATTCGAATAAATGACTCCTCAAGTAGATCTTAAAGGTATGAACTGAAGTACAGAGTCTAAAGCAAGAATGCATCTACCTACCTACGATGTAATATTTTACTTCACCAGGAGATAAGAACTGATAAGGAGAAAAAACAAAGGATTAATGATATTTTTCCATTATGGATAAGACTTTACTTTGATAAATCACCCGGTAATATTAACTGATGCCACCACGTTTCGAGCTGTCTGTCTGTCGCTCTGTCTATTTTCGACATAGAACTTTGCACAAATGTGCGACAGTTCAAGTCACCACACTCCGTGTAGCACGTGAAGCAAGAGAAGAAAGTACAAGAAAAGCATAATAGAGACAGTATACAGAGGTGTGAGACAAAGGAATAGTAATAACGAAGAACAAAACAGTTTCATTGGAAATCATAAATCTCAAGGAGTGGATGCACCTGCACCACTGACAACGATTTTGAGCCATGTCACCAATTGTTTACAACCATAGATTTTTACCGTCCCGAGGACCCCAGCCTGGAAGTCTACACCTTCCTACGTGGCTTAGACCAACTGTTGTGGATTTCATTGACTGGTGCCAAGTTTTGTTTGACCGCCGCTAGCTTTTTTCCAGCCTGACCCTATATCCGCCAACATTGCTCGTCGAGGGAGGCGATGACTTGGCATACGTAACACATGTCCTAACCATCTCAGTCTTTGTAACTTCACGACATCGTCGATTGATTTCCCCTGTTTACCTAGAACTCGACGCCTAACCTCAATGTTGCTCACCTTATTATGCCACTTTACACGGGAAATAGAGCGCAGGCACCTATGATCAAAGACAGCTAGCCAGCCTTTTCATGTCTTCCACTCTCAGTGGCCAGGTCTCACAGTCCGTCATAAAGGAGGACGGAGCGGACTGATGAGCAGTACACCCGCCCTTTGGTCGATAGTCGAACATCTCGTCTACGCCAGAGTCGGCGTAAACTGGCAAATGCGAAACGAGCCCCCTGTATTCGTGCTGAGATTTCGTCAGAGATCAACCCGTTGGGGTTGATGGTACTTCGCAAATAAGTGAAGCGGTCAACGTGCTCCACCAACCACTTCACATCCTATTTTTAAACTAGGCGTCGCTGTAGTCCAGTCCTGTAACATCATCTTGCATTTGGCGGGAGCGAATCGCATGCCAAACATTTGTAGATAGAGGTTCAAGGTGTTCAGAAGACTCTGCATTTCGTCAGCGTCTTCGCCTAGAAGGACTATATCATCTGCATATTCCAAGTCAACGAGATTATTCTCTGTTAGCGAGTCAATCCCTGAGTCGTTGAAGTCCATTAGTACATCTATGATGAAGTTGAATAGAAAAGGGGATAATGGGCATCCTTGACGGACACCGCTAGTCGTCATCAGTTCAGATGACAACTCGCCGTAAGCCCTCACCTGGCTGTATGAGTACGAGTAGAGCGTCCCTTTACAGCCAAGCATCTCCAGAGAACTTCTCGGTCGACAGAGTCGAATGCCGCCTTTAGGTCAAGAAATATAATGACTGTTGGACGCCGGTAGGAATGCCTATGTTCTAGAATCTGTCGGAGGGTGAAGATATGATCAATACACCCTCTTCCTGGTCTAAAGCCTGCCTGGCTCTCTCGTGTTTGTGCCTCCCGAGCACCACTCAGTCTACGCATGATTATTGAGCCTAAGACTTTAGATACTATATTAGTCAAGCTAATCCCTCTGTGATTATCACAGGAAGACTTGTCTCCCTTCTTGTATATGGGGATAATCAGTGACTTACACCAACCCGATGGGACTTCTTCTGATTCCCAGACGCTGCCTAGTACCTCAGTTAATGCAGACAGTAAGCTGTCTCCGCCGTACTTATATACCTCTGGAGTCATTCCATCAGGCCCCGCTGCTTTGCCTAGTTTCAGATTGGTGACAGCTTTAGTAACCTCAGTTAGGGATGGAGGAAAGACGATGAAAGCTCCGCAATTAAACCAAGGAGCTCAGAGAACACTATCAATTGCAAATGGAGGACCTGTGTCTATATCCCATTCAGGGAGGTGTTGGATGCTCAGAAGGTTGAGCGTGGCTGCGGACCAATTAAACTGCTCCTCATAGTGCTCTTTCCAGCTAATTATAGTGCCATTTTTCTCCGAGATTGTTTCACTAATGTTCTGTCTTATCCCACCCGTTTCCCTGATGAGTCTAAATAGTTGCCTAATGTTCCCTATCGTCGAAGGTAGGTGGAGAGGGTGGTTGATTACTGAATCCTGTCTAGTTCATCGAGTCTACACCCAACACATGCACAATCGAAATGACTCAATCCAAATACCAGAGATATGGAAGATATTATTACCATCAGTCAGTCAGTGAAATCAGAGGAGTATAATAAATAATCTTAAATTGTATTCTATTTCAATTCAGTTCACGTACATCACAACATTCTAACAAGTTACTTATTATAACTATAAAAATAACACTTGCCTCATTTCCCATCTAATTGTAATTGATCAATAACACTCATAATAATATTTCTGAATGTACATTATCCTAAATTGATTTTTATTGAAATGCCTCATCATCAATTTTACTCATGTATATAAATGAAGAAAAAAGTTGTGTGAGTGAGTGACTTGATATGATTATGAGTGGTAATAGTTTGTGCTCAAAACTTGTGGTCATCAGCTAATATTAGTGTATAACAACACTGTGTGATTTATCAAAATAAAATCTTATCTATAATGGAGTTATACTCTACCACAGTGCTCAAGTTTTAAACTTACATCTATAATGACATTTTTATCAAGAGAGATGAAAATCAGAGAAAAATTGAAAAAAACAGATCTAAACAATGACTGAAAGTATTCAGCTAAACGACTTCTGAGGTCAAAAGTAAGTATGAAAATATTTGGGTGTATCTATGTCACTGTAATTGTTCAAAAATTAGCCACTTAAACTCCAAATAACAAATTCATTTGAAAACTTGATTCATGCTTCCTTGTAAAGTGGATCAAAAAATCCATAAGATGAACAGGCGACTGAAAAAAAACGCTTAGAAATGAACACCGTTTGCAGACCCTGCAGCTAACAAACCTATAAATAGGATTCTAGTTAGATTTAGAGTGTAAGCGTTTTCAGTATTACACAATGGTACCAAAATAAAGGAGTACTCGTTGACCGCCATCCCAGTAAGCAACCACACAACAACAACATGGATAAACAAGGAAATATAAAGGTAGTCTATCCCAACTGCGTGCATCCGTAGTTCAGTGGTAAAGTACTTGCCAGCGGTGCAGAAGGTGAGGATTCAATTCCAGTCTGGTGCATTACTAGACCTCTCCCAGTAGAAAGAGGCCCCAAGGAGAAGAAAGGAGGTTAGGTGTGAGGTGCGTCACTGGTTCAGTGACAGAACATCACCCAACCAAGCGAGTAGTCCGGTGTTCGACATCCGGCCGACGCACTCCTGGACTTCGCTTTGCTGATAGTGAGTCAGGTCATGAGGAAAGGTTGGATGTGAGGTTAGTAACTCTATTCTGTAAAAAATCAGCACTGCCAATGAAGCTTCAAAGCTTGAGTTTAGGCCTTGTGTTCCACTTGGATTACAAAGGAATAAATACTGATTAATTAGGCGTGTGGCTAGTAATCCCACTCTATGGAATCAATACCACCAGCTGAAATCCTATATCCAGCTATCCATGTAGGGAATAGAAAAAGATCCAAACTATAAGTGAAAGTTGAAATTCATTGAAACATTGCCCGTAGTCGAGGAAGGTGATGGCTAGGAATCCGTAACACATGTCCTAACCATCTCAGTCGATGTAGCTTCACAACCTCGTCGATTGATTTCCCCTCCCCTCCATACCTAGCACTCGAACGAGGACTAACTTCAATATTGCTCACCTTATTATACTACGTCACACGGGAGATAGGGTGCAGGCACCTATGATCAAAGACAGCTACCCAGCCTTTCCATGTCTTCCACTCTCAATGACCAGGTCTCACAGCCAGCCATAAAGGAGGACGGAACGGACTGATGAGCAGACATACGCCCTTCAGTTGATAGCCAGCCGGATATCACGTCTACGCCAGAGACGGCGTAAACTGGAATATGCGAAACGGCCCTTCTGTATTCGTTCTGAGATTTCGTTTGCGATCAACCGGTTGGCATTGGCTGATGCAACTTGCCAAATAAGTGAAGCGGTCAACCTGACGTTGAATGCTCCTATGTGAAGTTGGCGGTGTGGCTTTAAGAGGCTGTCGGGGTTGTTTCTATGGCTCTCACCGTTGTTTGTGGTCACAGAGTGAAGCGAAGATGACTCACTAGCCTGAAGAATAGTACTAACCGTAGTAGGGGAGTAAGATGATGGAAGTTATGTGGGTAAAGGAGAGTGACGGTCAGGAAGGCTTCGTGTGCTCTTGGAAATGTGTAGGCTGTTGTTACTTCCCAGCTGCCCATACCGTGGAAGTTGGTTGAATCTTCAGGTACCTGAAACAGAAAAAGTAAGTGCTGCGTAACCGCAGAGCCCCAAGGACAGCTACTTGAGGCCGGCCACACAAGGCCTGTATGAACTAGTTTCTCAGTTTGCTTCCGTACTAGTAAACTTACCGCCGGTTACAGACCACCATAGGGTAATTCGGGATGTACAATTGTTGGGGTCGACCTTTTCTAACCCCCTCTTTCCAGAGTGGAGAGACAGCATAGCTGGCATGCTCGTCACCTGAGGGAAACACCTCACTGCTGTCACCTCACTGCTCCCCAGCAGTACGACTTCGCCGGTAGACCCCCAGCATAGTGTAAGAAAGATTCTTACACAATGCCGGTAACTGCTTTTAGTCTAATCGCTATCCTAAAAACCTTCCTGGCAAGGTAGGACCTATAGGAACAATACTTCCAGCCAGTGTAGCTTGTTGGGTCACTACGAAATGTAAGCTTGACCAACACGTCAAGGTAGCAGTTATCGGTTGGGCAGGATATCCCTGCAGTTTTAAAACGTTCAAACTTAGATACATACATCTGAAGAGTTAAAACATTGTCAATTTATGTACATGAATAAAAAGTGCTTAAACGTTGGTCATTTATTCACTTAGTGAGAATTCCTAAAATCTATGATCACACCGACAGATATTATTTTATCTCGCATAATGGTAAATCGCAAAAGCCAATCACCATACCACAAGTGTTGATTTGTAAACACCAGTAAGCATGCCCAATTAGCATCTGATAGAATATTCACATCTACGTAATTATGGATCTTATCGATTGTGTTATTTTGAAAATTTCAGGGTAGGATTTATCAACCTAAGCATTCTGCCTCATGCACCGAACTCCAGGCTGAAACTTCAAGCCGTCTACTGGGCAATATAATAACCGCTTATAAATACAGTATGGCTTGTTGGAGGCAGTATGAACACTGAGCTGGTTTCTGGGCTCCAATCTTAAGAATATAGAAGTGGCTAACAGTGAATTCTTACAAATATTCCCATTTGCGTCATTAATTGTTAAATCTTCCAAATCTATAGTTTCCTTTTACTTGAATCACACATCTGCCTGAGTTCTACATTCCGTATGAATTCAAAGCCAAAACTACAATTCATTTTTTCTTATGTTACTTTAATCTATGATTTTCAGTGATAACTGAGCACTAAGTGCTACTTTATGGTTGGTAATCCCAAAGACATTACACACTGTCAAACACACAGTTAGATGAGGGCTTTCCGTTTGCGAACAGGCCAGACATTATCAGTTATTTAACAAGGGATATATGCTGGTGTATTCCTTCAGCGAATTAAATCCGGTTACCACTGTAAATTATGTAAGCGTAATAGATGTATATATGCCATTGATTTCTAGATATATCACCAGACAAACCAGGTATACTTCTAGATATGCAGATGACTTGTCTCAAAAGATGTTTAAAATAAAGCGGTTATTTCTCAATATCAAGATTTCGTACATCAGAAAAGACTTACCAAAAGCATATTCTTAAAATGTTGGACAATAAGAGAACAAGACAAACATGCGTAGAAAAGCCTTTAACTGACTGTGATTTGCGAATTTCTATTAACTGTGGGATGTATGGAACCACTCCACCGAAAATATAAAGAAGGCTAAAGATGCTGTGTATCATTTGACTAGGCTCGTGCGTAACCACCTTATCCGTTTCATCAACATAAGACATAAATTAAACTTGGAGCTATCTGTAAGTAAGAGAAGGTAGAAAAAATAACTGAACTTCTGTTACCAATATATTTTGAGTTATGAAATTATTGTTCTAGAGTTTAATCGCTTAGGTTATTTTATAATAAATGATACAAATGACACACACGAGTAGATTGATGAAATGAATAACTACAAGAGTTAATCTGCTTAAGTGGGACTTCCATACGCCATAAATCTAATGAAAAAGACTGGACAACCACACTTAAACCTGTTTTCTCTTCTAGTGTTGTCATCATAATCGCAGTCTCAGTTTTACAACAGTACGTGACTAACATATAAATAACCTTGTATCATCCTACAGTTCATCCATCCTTTGAAAATATGACGTTAATTTTTTAAATACGTCTACACTGACTCAGAAATTTCGGTAGCACCAACTTTAGGTATGGTCTAATTTGAAAATTATATCAGTGAGAATATATAGTATTTCTCTGGACAACTTTTTGTTGTCCTATTCATCAATAACGAAAAAAGCATTTTCAAAGAGTCTAAATGCTTCAGAATCCTATATGTCAATGCAAAATACACTTGATAAGTAGTACATAAATTTAAATATATTACCATTTCAATGTACAAGATTTGCAACAGCCATGTAGGTTTTCATCAACTGTATTATACCTCTCCATTCAATGCGCCACTTATATTTAGAGTCTACTTACTTCACACACGAAGAGCATATTCTTTTGCCGAGAACGAAATATGAATTACAAAATTTGTTACTGATATTCATATATATATATATATATATATATATATATATATATATATATTCATACTAATATTCATATTCGAACCAAAAGTAACGCACGACAGATATGTGAAAAAACCGATTACTGATATTTTTCGGCAGAAAATGTCTAAATCCAATGTGAAATGAATCTATAGAGTGCGAGCAGGCGACCTATGCACTAAATCACCTCTCAAATTACATAGGAATGCTTAAGCATTCAGATGAATTCAGATGACATGTTACCTGCTCAAGAATATATTGAAAAAGGTTTAAACACAGGTTTCCGTAATCCAATATCCAATATCCTGATTACGAGCTAGTATAAACCAGTGATTTCTTTGAGCTCGCTTCTTGATTGTGAGGTAGAGGTTCCAGATCTTCGGTGAGCTTCTGCGTAGTAAGTCCCGACACTCGACTGCTTTAGCTCTGGTAGACTCCAGGAGGAGTGGTGCGGGGATTGGTCGAGATGTGGTTTGTAGTATGCAGTATGTTAGGACTGTATTGCTGCCGTGAATGGAGTTTGACCTAACTCCCCTTGGTCATTCGGTGTAGTCATAAAAGCAGAATAGTAGTAATAATAATAAGAATAAAAATAATGGGTTGTAGTATAGATAATATAGGTTGAGATAAGTGGAATAATAAAGGTGACCTAAGGAAAAGATAGAGTGAGAGAAGGCAGAATAGGTCGTGGGGATTTAGTTTGTACGCTTATTCATTGACAGTTTGGTTTCAAATCTTATGAGGATAAGCCATTGAGACACAAACCTTGCATTTCTGCATGATTGTCTAGCTTCCGCTTAAAAATCTCCGGTAAAGCGTTCCAGAGACGGCACACACGAAGCGAAAAGAAATGTGATCGCACTCGAGTCTTTAGTCTCTGGTGAGGAGAAAAATGTTATACACAGAGATAAGCATGGGATAAATACCTTGGAATTAGTACCTTAACATATCTACAGACTTAGTACCTAGAGAATTGACAGAAACTCACTTCCTATACAATCCGAGTGCTAACCCTCAAGGTGGCAGAAATAAAGGTGTTAGAGTACTTAAACAAATTCAAGGCTCCCTGCTCACAAAATGCTAAACAGTGTGAACAAAGATGACAATGTATTTCAGCAAAAGATGAAGAAAGACAACCGCTACATTACTATGAACAATTAGTTTAAAGGCTTTGATAACGAATAAGTTGGTCGGCACGTGAGAAAGCAATACTAGCCAAGAAGAGGACATGTTAAAATGTCCAATACCACTATATTTGGGACTATCTACAATAGAAATACGGTTTATTGTGTCCATCTCATTGTTGCTGCTGAATCATTCTGGAGTGTAAGTAATTTTCATCAAAATTGGTCACTATGAATACGACGTGCTTTTTCCTCTCCAACCGGAAAATACCAATTCTGTGAATTATCCGTTTGGGAAACCTGATCTTCCTAGCCGGTGAATTTAATTCAACCATTACTTACATAGTAAATCTCTGTGTGGTAAGTCCAGCTGTCTCGAACTACTGCCAAAGCTTCAGGTGCTACTTTTGTAGCAGCATCTTCCTCACTCGTTCAGAGAAACAAGACTTGTTGGTCTACCACGTGATTGCCGTGAAGCCGATCATTCAGAAAGTACTAGGTAAAGTCGAAAACCTTTTCTTTTCCTTGCCTTACACTTTTTCAGTCTTATTCTTGCTCTTTTGGTTAGAAACTGTTGCTCTCTTAGACGTACATAGCATAATTTATAGTGATTGTTAATATGGTTGTTGAAAGCAGCCTTAAAAAAGCCACTAGAATACCGTACTCTGTAGTCACAAGGGCTTCAGCCAGGGAAGGAAAAAATCCAGGGATTTCAACCCCTTCCCGCATACCGATCCTAAAGACTCGTGTAGCTTTAGTCTGCCCTGATACAACGCCTGCATTGCCACAGTCTAGTACTGAAACGGCACAGGCAATACCAGAAGGACAGAATTCTACACCTGCATCAACTGTAGGCCAGTGTGTGAAACACATCAAGCCTAAAAGGAAACGTTCAAGACGTCATAAGACCTCGAAGGCGTCATCAAGGAAAGGGGATGAATGCCAGGCGTGCAGCATCACAGTTTCTAAAACTGATTCAGCGTTTGAATGTAATTTTTGCAAACGATGGGTGCACTGCCGTTGTGACAAAGAAGTACCGAAAGCATACTATGAGTTTATGAGAAATAACCCATGCCCATGGTTTTGGTACGTGTGTCCACTTTGTCGCCCTGGCATAGTCCCACAAAGCGTGTCTGCGGATAGCAGAAATAACATGCTCTTGTGCCCCAACACAGTATCATGCAGCTCCCCCCTGCTAAACTCGCACTGCCGAAACTGGTCAAAGACTTAAAGAAGGACACACCAGCCCTACTGACTGGAAATGCCAATTCTCACAAGGTGAAGATTAGCAAGGTTCCATCCACATCAGGGGAGGGCAAAATTACAAAGGCACCACTTGCATCCACTAGCAAGCCTGGCAACACAAAAAAGGCTGTCCAGGTACCGACGAAGCCTAATGTTGCTAATGATGCAAAGGACTGCAAGAAGCCGAAGGCAAAACCTAAGTCTGAGGGTAGTCGGTCTAACTCTCTCATCCTCTTTAACGTACCTGTGAGCACGGATAGCTTGCTCGAACAACGGGCCCTGTTTGATCAGGAACAGTGGTCCAACCTGTGCGGCAAACTAGGTCTGAACATTAGTTCAGCAAAACTGTGCAGACTGTACAGGGGTGTCCACACGCCTCAGGGTAAGCCACCCCCATTACGGGTTACACTGGACTCTGCCGAAGAGGCCGAAAAAGTACTGTTAATGGCTCAGGTACTAGCCCTGGACAGAAGTTCTAACATAAGAGCGCGGCAAGATAGACCATGGGCCGTCAGAAATATGGCGAGGGAGTCACCGGAACTGATGCCTTCCACCTCTATGGTGGTACACGGTGTTCCGGAGCTGGAAACCGGCACTGCTTGTGAAAAACACATGCACGACGTACAACAATGGAGATGGCTGTCATCTCAGATGGCCCCTGGCGCTTCTGGAGCCATCTCCATTTTCCGACTACCTCGTCCCGCTCATCTAACATTGATTAACTCTCCAAAGCTGCTGTGTGTCACATTCAACTCCCCGGAGCAGTTGTCCATATCACTTCAACGGTGGTATGAGACCAAGGGAAAAATTGGAGGACACATCCGATGCTGTGAAAGCAGACCCAGAAATATAAGGAGGCAGCAAACTGAGGCTTTAATACGACCCCAAGCTTCGGTGACACTAGAGCGATGCAGCTCTGAGAATAATAGTCTGTGTCTCCCAAGTGTCCTGCCTAAATCCATTGAAAAAAACTACAACGGGCCGGTTCTATCGGAATCGGCCAACTAGTTCCAACATCAAGTCCCCCACCAGCAGACGGTTTCACGTCAACTACCCCACAACACTCTGAGGTTGTTAGACTCACTGTCAGTTGCCTATATAGCAATGTGAGGGGGCTGAGAGGGAAAGTAGGTGAACTCCGAAATCTCCAAGCACACCTTCAACTGAAAATAATCATTCTTACTGAAACGTGGCTAAACCCCACTATCGCCGACAATGAAATCAGTATAGGTGATATGGTACTGGTCAGAAGAGACAGGGATAATAAGGAAGGAGGGGGAGTTGCTATATACTTTGATAGGCAACTTAAATGTGTGCGCGCAACGGACCCACCACTTATCGAACTCCCAGACTCCATATGGTGTCATTTCACCGTAGGCCACACCAAGCACTTACTGGGTGGCATCTACCGATCTCCCACCTGTGGGGCAGAGCACAATCAGCTACTGCTCAGCACTATCACAGGAATACGAGATTTGGGCTACGACCAAATCACCATAGCTGGAGATTTCAATGCTCCATCACTGAACCTTGGCTCCGGGTGTGCTAAGGGAAAATTTGGCCGAAACCTACTGCAAACTATTCGAAACACGGGACTGACTGAGAATGTTGGAGACGACACTAGGTGGGGCCCTAGTGGAAAGTCATCAAAACTAGATTATATTCTAACTAGTGACCAGCTACTCGTCGAAAAGGTCCAGATCATGACTCCTCTGGGAAGCAGTGACCATGCAGTCATAGGTTTCGATCTTGTCCTCCGTGAGCGTTTGCAATGGGATGTTACGCGACCATGTCTGTGCTACAGCAAGGCTGACTATGCTGAAATGCGGAGGCTCTTGTCCGACGCAGACTGGCCCTTAGCATGGGACGACCTATCTGTGGATGAACACTGGGAAGTGGTAAAAAAGATTATCCATGCAGCAATCTCGGATACCGTCCCTTTAGTCACAACACAGCCTAAGAGAAAGACGTCATGGTTGAAGAGAGGCACGCAACGTATTCTGCAAGCAAAGCGGAGGGCTTGGTTTACGTGGCGTGTATCTAAGAGTCAGACCGACCATGATGCATACCTCGAACTCAGGAACCGGTGTAATGCAAGAGTTAGGAGGGACAGAAGGTCATTCCAGGCTAACCTTGCTAAAAAACTCCTATCAAACCCTAAAAACTTGTACCGATTCATGTCGGAAAGAAAACCGACAAACCAAGGGGCATGCGCCTTAGTAGGCCCAAACGGTCAATATCTCACTAGTCTGGAGATGGCTGAAACATTCAGTTCAGCCTTCGCTAAACAGCTAAACAGCAATGTGGATATTACAGTTACGGACCAAAATGGTGGCACCACTATTTCAGAGGAGGAAGACCTAGCGACTACTCCCCAAATAAACCCCGCAATAGTACTAAGGAAGCTACAGCGACTCATACCTGGGAAGTCCCCAGGTTGTGATGACATCAGGCCATCTGTTCTGAAACAGTGCGCCGAGGCTCTCTGTAGACCCCTGTGCGACTTGTTCCAACACTCAATGGATTCGGGGACCCTGCCAAGGGAGTGGAAAAGAGCCATCCTTTCTCCAATCTTCAAGGGTGGGGACAGGCAAAACGCTGCTAGCTATAGACCAGTAGCTCTACTCCCAGTGGTATCAAAAGTACTGGAAAGTATTATTGACGACCACATCAGGGAATATTTCGATAGGACTAATATACTGCATGAAGCCCAACATGGTTTCAGAAAAGGCAGATCCTGCGTCACTAACCTACTGTCAGCTTGGGACGACTGGACATCATGCTGGGACTTGAACGTACCAGTCCATGTGGTCTTCCTAGACTTTGAGAAGGCATTTGACACTGTTCACCATGACCTTCTCCTACATAAAATAAGCCAGGCAGGCATAGGTGAGCCACTTCTGTCATGGTTGAAGGACTACCTAGCCGACAGGCAATTTTGCACTAAGGTTAACCGAGTCCGATCATCTTGGCACAGATCGTCATCAGGAGTGTCGCAGGGTTCTATCCTAGGACCACTGATGTTTTTGATTTTCATCAATGATCTACCACGCCGTCTGAGCTGCCCGACTCTCCTGTACGCTGACGACGTAAAAATATGGAGGGCGATAAAGTGTCCGGAGGACTCAGATAGGCTACAGGAAGACCTAAACCTTCTGGAAGACTGGGCGGTGGCCAGTGGCATGACTTTCAACTTGAAAAAGTGCAAAGTAGTGAAGTTGCGCACCTGTAGACTGCAGAATGCAAGTTACACCCTGTGCAATGAAAGCTTGTCCTGCACAACGTCGGAACGCGACTTAGGTCTAGTTCTAACGGAAAAAATGGACACAAGCGTAAATTACACAGGGGATGTAGCGAGGGCATATGCGGTCATACACTTTACGCATAGACAGTTAGGTGCACTCACTCCTGAGCTCTTTCTAATGTTGTACAAAACATACGTCAGGCCACACCTTGAGGTGCATAATATTATTGCACCCCCAATGCTGAGAAGAGATGCCAACCTCTTGGAAAGAGTCCAACGACGGGCAACAAAAGGAGTGGTTGGTCTCCGAAACAAACCATATGATGAAAGGCTGAAGAAATTAGGCCTGTTCACACTTAGTTACCGTCGGCTTAGGGGGGATTTGATTACTGCCTACAAAATAACAAATGACCAGAATCACCCAAACAAAGGTGTTCTGCCATTGAGTAGGTATAGGCTCCCATTTTTCGTGGCAGAAGGATAGCTCACCAGAG